AATGTTCTTTAAAGAGCATTGTGAATCAAAATAGATACCTAAATATTTAGTGCTGTTAACCACAGGAACTTCTTGATTATTAATTTTAATGTTCACTTCAACTGGGGTGAATTTTCGATGTCGGCGAAAAAGTAGAATGTTGCTTTTAGAGGGATTAATGCTGAGTCTCCATGATTTAAGGTAATGCACAACGTGATTCACTGCAATTTTAAGCTTATCAACAACTGGGTCCAAGAACACTTCCTTGTGGAATTCCGCTTTTGATATATTTCTCCGTAGTATAAGTGTTGTTAATTTTTACTTGAAAGGTACGGTTTCTCAGATAACTTTTTAGAAGTTTAATGAAGTTAATTGGCAGATGAGCAAGGTGTAGCTTGTAAATTAAACCATCATGCCACACCTTGTCAAATGCTTTTTATAAATCCAAAAAACAACTTGCAATTGTATTCTTTTTAACGAATGAATCAGCGATATACTCTGTTACATTAAGCAGTTGATGAACAGTACTGTGTCCAGTTCTGAAGCCGAATTGCTCACTATTTATGATATTTTTATCTTGAAGGTGCTTTGTAAGTCTTCTTTTGTATGACCGTTTCGAAAACTTTGCCCAGCCCAGGAAGCAGACTAATTGGACGGTATGAGTTAAGCTCTCTTGGATTTTTCCCCGGTTCAAGGAAAGTAACAATATTTGCATGTTTCCACTGCTGTGGAAAATAATTTAACCTGAGACACGCATTTATGATATTAGTAGTTAGAACAATGTAGCTTTTAGGGCAGAATTTTTAGAATTTTATTTGAAATCCCGTCGAACCCGGAGCTTTTCTGACTTTTTAGATTTTTGATGATGTCATAAATTTCATTAGGTTGAGGTGGGATTAATTGCTCATTACCAATGCGGTCCGAGAGGTGAATATTAAAATTATAAACATCCTCTTCTATTTCCTCATTGTAATAATTGTTGTTAGTAAAAGTATTTTCCAGATGGGGCAGCAAGAGCTTCTGCAATATCTTTTTCAGTAGGCGATGCCATAATTAGTGTTAATAGGACCAATATTATAGTCTTGATTTTTACGGAGTGTTTTTGCAATTTTCCAGACAGTTCCTGGGTTAAAGTCCATGGAATCAAGGAGATCATCCCAAGAATTTGACCTATATTCAGAAATAGCTTCTTGAATTTCACGGATTTTTCTATTTAATTGGTTTTTAATAGTAGGATCAGCCGTCCTTCTCCATTGCTTGGCAATCCTATTTTTGTCTTTAAATTTATCAATTAAGTAGTCAGGTAATTTGGGCTTCTGATATTCTTTAAAAGTAGTAGAATTGATAATAGCAGTGTTAATTCTTCTGTTGATTTTAGTGATTTGTTCTTCGATGTGTGAAATATCAGCTAACAACGATAAAACGGTAACGGTGGCAGCCACAGATCTGATTGATAATTATTAAATTAAAATAAAATTAGTATTTGTACTACAAAATTAAACTACCGTACTTTAACAGCAGGGAGGAAAATTATTTGACACAATGATACAAAATACCGCTCGAGGTTCTCCTATTCGCTAGGGTACACATTTTGTTCTGCAACTTCGAAAAATCACATTAGAGGGTAAAATTTTGAAATGTACACTGATTCTAAAGAGGATTAAAGAGAAATTCACAGGTTTTGATTACTAGATGTTAGTAAATTAAATAAATAAATAAAATATAATACTATATTAATTTAAATAACTATTACAGCAATATTGTTTAAAAAAGGTAATACTAATATACATAGCTATATTATCACACAGTATTCAGAGCATCGAAATGAAATTCAACGAAACAGCTCCGAGGATGTGATAAGAGCAAATAATAATGATTAAGCAGGAGCAAGATTTTCGGCTAAAGCAGGAACAATGAAAGCAGCGAACAATGAACACTCCGAAGAACCCAGATCTCTCCACATTTTGAGAAGGAGCGCCCGTATACTGACAGCTGGGAATCCGAGGAACTAGTTCCTATAATCTACGTACATTAAAACGATCCTTGCAACAGTGACATGGAAAAAATAAATAAATAAAGTAAAATAATTTCAAAAAATCTGAAAGCTTTCACATCTGACATTACGTCCACAGGGCGTTTTTTAAACGTTTTGTGGACTACCTTTATTTATTGAATATCATGTTCTCCGCACTTACACCATAAAATTCAGTTAAACAGCAATATCGTAAAATAATTTTAAAATGAACATATCTTTAGAATTTCCGATACACAGTTTCGCGCGCTGGAGATAAAAACGCTTCCCCCCCCCGGTACAGTGTTGTCATTGCTCGCTTTGAAATTTTTGAGTTCGTTAATCAAACATTCGTTAAAGTTTTACAAAATATGAAACAGATAATAAAAGAAATTCAAAATTCCAAATTTGGGCTTCCAGATGCCCATATCCGGGTGGAAGCGTACGTTATTCAGAATTGGATGTCTCTAGGTGCCGTCGTTTCATCACAATGTGAGAAACATACATACATTTATGCAGATTCTTCATCATTTAATTTCTTTAAATATAATAGAGGAACTGTAATATTTGATGGCAACAGTTTGAAAAGTGAACCCTTATTTAAAGTTTTCAACGGAAAATGCCAAAGCGGAATTATGTCAGCCGTAAATTTGTAATGCGAGCTGTGTTCGTTTGCGCTGTAAGACGCCCATTCCCAACCATGTCACCACAAACGATCATCACGTCGTCAGCGCAGATGGTAGGATAACGCAATAAGAAATTTGCTAGTTTAACTCCCTGATTTATTAGTGCCACGTAGTTTATGTGCAGTGGCAGTGTAAAGCGAGTCAGTTTGGTGGTTGGTAGAAAAGTTTCACGATGCTCTCGCATCGAGGGCCTGTTGATGTATTGGCAACACCATCGCCGATAAGTCATGCCCCACACATAAAAAAATACTTCATGTGGCATATCATGACGCCAATGCAAGGCTCTGAAAATAATACGATTCGTACACGGAAATACTGTTTTGACGAATATTTAATTTCGGGTCGCATATCTATGCGGGACGCAAAGCTGGAATAAAGGACTTCCCGGAAAATCCAGTAAGAATGATCATCATAAGTAAGAATGCATTAAAATTTAACACCCATATTTCGGACTTAATATTTAAATAATTAAGATAAGTGCTATATTCCAAGTTTATATGTAACAAGGAAGTCTGTACTGTTTTAATAGTTGTTAATGGTTAAAATTCAGAAATGTTTGTAGCATTTTAGATAATTTCCATTGTTTTAGGAATTTCCCATTTGTTTTAAGAAACACACAATTTTTCAAAAACTGTTTTTCAGCGCATTTATTAGGCAATAAAATTCATCACGATAAAACTGCAACCATCCTACACAGTAAATCCACTAAGTATGCAGTTTACTATGATTTTTCAAATATACATTAAAAAAGATTTCTGAAAAATAGTGTAAATATTATTACAGGCGGATTAATGGTGTGGCACAAATCGTAATCTCGAAGGATGCCGGTAATCAACGAGAAACCCCAAATCACTAATTAATTTAAAAAAAATAGTAAACATACCCTGTGTCTTACAATAAGGAGCTTCCGAAAGTTCGATAATGGGCAGTAGTAAGCAAGTGTCGTCGGAAGGAGGAAGCGACGCCACAGTAAAAGGGATGTAACAACGGAAGTGATATAGACGTGTTTGAATAATGTACTGTTTTCCTGAAGTTTCATTTTTTATTTTGTGGCAACGACAAGAATTTTCGAAGTTTTATTTTATTTATTTATTTTTTTTTATTTTCGTTTTTGCGGCAACGCCTTCTTAAACCACATGAATGAGAGAAAGGAGGGAAATGAGGATTACTAACAGCGAATGGTTTAAGCACTTACATTGAATCTCTTTCTTCATCCTTTTTTTCTTAAGAATACAGCCTGTTAAAAAAAAAATGTGCTTAGAACTTCGTGGAATGCATCTTATTTATTATGTATGATGGTCATAAGTAATTAAATGATATCTATGTTCGAAAATTGCTTGGTTTCAGTGTTTAATTAAAATAATGCTCCTTTGAAAATGTGGTCTCTCGGAAAATCAACTGTCCTTGAAGCGTGGGTGGAGACGTCTTAAAGAGATTTCAATATATCCTCTCGGGCACTTTTTAAAATCTTTTTTCTAGATCAAATGCCATCACTTCCTTTACCCGATTAATTTTTCTGATATTTTCATCGTTGGCCGCCCTAAACGGCATTGTGGCTAGGGAAGGCTAACTGCTACTCTTAGCTTCAATTGACTCTCGCATAAAGTTTGGTTGTTTGCTAGTGTCTTTTCCTCTTTCTCGCAAATGTAATATCGGTCTACCCTATCGTGCATCCTGCGCAACGCTGTCAGTGATAATACAACTGAATGAATATATGGGCAATGGGATTCCCAAAACTGGCATTTCCAAAAAATTGCTTTAGAAGTAAGCCTTTGGACATTTCATCCTCGCAACTGTAATTCTTACTGTGTATTAGCCACATCTTCAATTTTCCTTGCTCCTTACTGACTGCGCTCATCAGTGGCCAAATGAGTAACAAAGCTGAACAGAGATAGGCCGCTCTGGGTTCGATTTCCAAACTAGACTGACTGGACTCCATCATCGTCCACACTGCAGAGAAAAGATTACCAATTTTCGAAACACTTCGTGAAATGATACTTTCAAAGACACATACTCCTCGAGAATTTATCATGATAAGAGAATTCATTCTTATTTTAGCTCATTAAAATTTATATTTGGATTCAGACTTATATACAATAGCCATTATTGTGAGATTTCCCGATCCAGCGAATTTTTCCTTTAAACAGTATATTGCCTTATATAAGCAAAGCAAATTCTAGTTATTTCTTCTACTGCATTCCTTTTTTAAGATTTATTCAAATTAAGTATTATGGGTTTTGTTAACTGGAATTGACTGTATTTGAAAGGTTTGAAAAAATGTTTTTAATTTTTTTTCTTTGCATTAACAGTGACAAAATTCTTACTTCGGTAGCTCTCGCTAGATGGCGTTCCAACTGTAATCGTTCTTTTGATGACTGACGAATTATATTCTGTAACTCAGCAACATTCCGGTACAGGCTTCCCTGCTGAACAAATTAGAAACATTAGGAATAATATTAAATATTTGTAATATTTTTAAACAAAGTCATTACATAAGTAATCAGCAATGATTAAAAGATCAGTGATTCTCTAGATCAAAGATCGCAAACTAGCAGGCCGCATACGGCTGCAGCAATTTTATGCAGCACACAAATACATTTCGATTATGTATTTATAGCAAATACGTTGCTACAAAGATTTCAAAATATTTTAATTAGCTAAAGTCCAAGTTTACATTATTTTTATTACCATCAAAAACGAATGTTACTAACACACAACAAAATCACATTGAGCTAATTAATTTAAAATGTGATATAAATCTTATTGAATGATTTGAAGACACACATTTCATTAATTTTATTCGTACTTGTCGGAAAATAAATACACGCAGTTACGACTTTTTTCGCTAAGAATAATCGCTTTGTTTGGGAAAATATTTATAGTCAAGCGCTTTTTTTCACAGTTTAGAATTAATAAGAAAAGAACCGATTGACAGAATGCGTAATAAAGATAATATCTAGACGTTTTTCCCCAAAGTTACAAACTTTTCCAGAATCGAAATTCGATCGAGCGTCATGGTATATGAAGCAAAGAAATTTATTACCATTCATAAAAGCATATGTATTTCTTTATATATATATGTGTGTGTGTGTTGAAAAAAAATGTAATAGGAGAAAGAGACACAATAACACGCCGAATAAATACTAATTCAGAAGTCAAACAACAAAAATCAGCGTTATATTTACAAAATTTTCACAGGACTAGTTTCGATGGTTTTACCGAACCACCATCCTCAGCTGCAATTGAGGTTTTGCAGCTGAGAATGGTGGTTCGGTAAAACCATCGAAACTAGACCTGTGAAAATTTTGTAAATAAACGCTGATTTTTGTTGTTTGACTTCTGAATTAGGAGAAAGAGACTAGACTGTTTTCACTTATTCTCTTTGTCCCTCTTGGAAAGATTTCTGCGAATACTCAGGAAAATTTCACTATTTGTTTATTTTCATTTTAAATTAAAATAAGTTTTTTAATGAATAATTAGACATATTAGAAGAATAGAAGACATATTAGAAGAAGTATATATTAGAATTATTTACATATTAGAACCTATTTAGACATATTAGAAGAACATATTAGAATTATTTAAAATTAATATCGGTATGAAAATTTAATATTTAGTTGTCAATATGTTCGAATTATAAAATGTAACAAATAGAAATGTCTTTAGATAGGAAATAAATATAAACTTGAAATTTTCCTCGTTATGTTATGATTATTATTGTTTATGTATGTTTTGATAAATGTTTAATAAGCGAAAGTTAAAATTTAATTAAAATATACTTTTTGGGTAAAAAATTTTCATTTTGTTAAAAAATAATTCTCAGGTCCGCCAGTTGTTTTCAGATTGTGCATTCAGTTCACGTACAATTTCAGTTTGAGACCACTTGTTTAGATAAGTGGATTTATGTCCTAATCCCATATGCAAGATACTTATTTCTCTGAAAGAACATCGCACTAGCGACGCCGACCATTTGAGCAAACTGATTAAGTTAATGGATAGTTAAACAGGAGTACATCCATTCTTTGGAAGTTGATATAACTCGATTATTGTTAGTAACCGACAACGAAACGTATATGCGATATAAAAGTAAATCTAAGATCAGGAACTTTATCAGGAATTAAAACCTTACATGGAAAAAATGCAAAATAAGAATAGATAAAAACGATTTATCTTCCAGACATATTTTACGAATTAAAGAACTTAAAGCATAGAATAAACATAAAACATAGAATAAATAAATTTTTAAAAAATTGATAGAATAGCACAAATCGCAAGGAATGAAACTACTAAATTCAGATAAATATGCAAATGCAAAATTGACACCAGCTGATAATCCGGTGATTAACAAATTAGTTTCAGGAGTAAAAGCACAATTGAACTAAATAATATTAAATGCATAACAAACTTTCAAATACTTGGGTGCTCACAAAAGCTTAGGAATACATTGTCAGTTACGAGTTTCTTAAAATGATGAAAGTACTCATCAAATTAGGATCATAACGGAAGGCAAATATGCAATCAAAATGAAAATTAGTAAAGGATAAATAATAATTTAATAAGAAAAGAAAAACAAGTCGCAATAAGCTCAGATAAAAAGAAATAATGGAATACCAACAGCATCCAGAAATATTTAAGCGTTGGCAAACAACTCAATATCGTCGTGCATATAACATTTTTTAGAAAGGGGTATGGCGAAGAAATTACTTACGACAGATGTTAATGCAAGACTGCATTTGATCAGAAAGATGGAACTCGTAATCCAAGCGCAACTATAAGATGTTCCACTGCATTCAGTGGGAATTCTTAGGACGAAGATGTAAGGCATTCTATTGCATTCAAATGGAATACTTAGAAGGAAGATGCAAATATTCAACATCTGAAAATCTATAAATCTTTGGAGAACGACTGAGATTTAGTGAAAGCAAGAAGGCCAAATTGAAAATATCTCTCCACTGTTTCTATACTTTTTATCTGGATGTTTTATACGGCTTCTTATATATTCATGAAATTTCCATAATCTAGAATAAATAAACTGGAAAGGAATGACAGATGATAAAGAAGTATAAAGCAGATTCATTACTTCAAATTGTGAGAATTATGATGGCAATGCCATATGTGATATGCGACGGGGGGGAACGTGGGAATCATCCCTTTAACATTGTGGTTAATCGGTGTAGCGCCACGTCCACCTGTATCTAGAGTCAGGCAGAGGCCACACGGACATCTTGCACCCGACGCCGAAACCCAGCGCCCAATTTCCTGCTAGCCTGCCACCCTAAGCGGCCACTGGGAATTTATTTATACTTAAAACATTAATGACATGGCTAAACAGGGGTCTTCAGTCTTTTGCTATAAGCTTTGATCTCGTTAAGAGATATATACATACACATTGCACAATTACAAAATACATACGTAGAATACTTGGTGTACATGATATACGAAATATTATATACAAAATGATAAACACAAATTCAGTACTAAATACAGATTCAATACATAACAAGAGATACTACTTATGAGCTAGGATAATTACATTCTGTTAACCAATCAATACTTGGAGGTTGCTCACTTCTAGGCAGGCTAGGATGGTAATACACATTGCACAATTGCTTGCACAGGGCAGCCGGTGTACATGAATTACAATACAGTAGAATTAATACGAGGGAATGAATATAGAAGAATAAAAAATTTAGTACAAAATACAAATTCAATGCGGAAGAATAATTATTACTTATGTGCTAGAATAAATACGTATTATGAACACTTAATAGAACTTGGAGGTTGCTCACTGTTAGGTAAGCTTGGATGGTGATAAGGCTTGGTTTTTATATCAGTTATTTATATAATAATTTTATATTAATTATGCAAATCTAATTACTAGGAATTTGGATTATTTATAAAGTGGTGAAATTTCTTTTTCCTCTTTCATATACTTAATGTGTACGCTTCATTACAAATGTGATTATCAGCAATGCATGCTAAATATGAAGTAATCGATTTATTTTTGTCCTTTTATGTAAATGAATAGTCATATACATGCATTATGTTTCATAATCAAATGCTTTCTCTTCCCGCTTTATTAATTATTTTTTTAACTTTATCAGATATTTCTCCCGCCTTCTTAACGAGCCCTTGTGGTGTAGTGGTCAGCACGGTCAGCGCGTAATTGAGAGGTCCGCGGTTCGACTCCCGGCGAAGGCGCTGCTAATTTTTCAATCTCTTTTGCCTGCTTCCAAAAATAACTAATGTCTCTACAACTTATAATATTTTTTATTTCATTTTATTATTTATTTATTTATTGTATTTTGTATTTTTAATCATTATTACTTTGTCTACTATTAAGCCGTTTTCTTACTGTTTTTAGTATTGCTGCTTATTTTAAAAATTAAGCCCTAAAAATAAAGGCACTGAAAACTGCAAATTGTTATGTTTGTTGTTTAACCGATAAAGGTTTTCTAAGAGGAGTCCTACATATTTGATTATATTTTATTAGTTTTAATTGTTAACTTTATGTTTGTAAATATTCGGCGCAAGTAAACTTTCCTAACTTTGATTCTAAAAATTAATTATTATTAACTTCAGATTAACATATTCCTCTCTTTACGAGAGTTCGCCAAAATACCATTTCATTTTTTACAAAAGCCATACATGTCTTTTAAGCCTTTTATATCTTTAGAAGAAAGTAATGAAAGACCATTTTTTGGTTTACCAAAGAAATTTCACTTTTATGGAAAACGACGAACCACATAAATTCATTTGGCATTAGTTTGATGTGGTGACTGTACAAATTTAATTGCAAAGAAGTACTAATTTCATATCAAAAGAATACGCAAGTTTTGTAGAATATTCCGATATAAATTGAACAAAAGAAAAATTGTCTATTAGAATCAAACTTTCTATTTTCAAACCTTTTACATCAGTCAGAACACATGATACACTTCTACTTTCGACGCTGAAATAAACAGACAGATAAGTAGATCTTATCTAGGTAATCATCTGGATAACCAAATCGTCAAATTTCCCAAATTAACGCATCACAGTTACTGTCCTAATTTTATGCCTTCCAGTTTCCACATTTCGGAAGGGAAAATCGGTGTTTCCAAATTTCGGAAGGAGAAATTGTAATACGTATGTTATATCTCTAGCGTAAAAGTCTCCTTAATTCATCACATCCTTTTTGCTTTTGATGGCACTTTAAGCCTTTTAGGTTATTCGGTACGATTCACAACGCACTTTTTTGCTAGAAATATTCTCAATCGGATCTATAAAACTTGCACTGAAGCAATGAACACTTACCACCAGTGGATTTTCTTTGGAATACTTAGTTTTTTCTACGTTTTTATTCCTGGTTATGCTCACTTTTTGTTTCTGTGCCTTTTCGACTGAGATTCTATTTAACTCTTTCTGTTTCCTATATTTTTCTGCTTGAACTCGGACTTTATCTCGGTATAATTCCCGAGAAGTCTAAAAAAAAAGAAAACTGTTTTAGAACAAATTTACCAAAAAAATATTTTTATTTACAGTATTTTTTGTAAAAGTAAGAGGTATGATGTAACTATAAAATAAGTAAAAAAGTAAACTATAAAGTAAATTTGTAAAAGTGAAGGAACTATGTAATACTTTATTTACATAGTCAAAATTTCTTACTTTTACAAAAGTTTATGAATATGTATTATTTTATATAAAAATCAGAAAAAATTCTCGAAAATATTAAATTTTACGAAATTTCGTAATACGAAAACTGATTTTCACTAAACTCGTATTTGGTGAATTGCTTCTGCAGCTAGACGGGAGTACTATAGAACAAATTCAACTGAGCTCCCGGTTAAGATTACATTCCGGTTTTTAGAGGTTGCCACTTGTAAAATTTGCCTAAATCTTTGGTCTAAGAGAATAATGCAACACGATAAAAGACATAAGGAAGAAATTAACATAAAGCTAACTATTAGTAAAACTTAAATCATAAATGTCAATTCTGACTGTCAAATCTGGCATGCTAGAAAAATTTCGGAATTAGTAAATTGTAAGAAAGCGACTAAAAGTTAACATTATCTATGAAAGAGTCTGAAAGCGCAATAAACAGATTTAAAACCATTATAATTATGAATTATAGTTTAATAATAACTATAAATAATAAATTTAATACAGTGAAACATCAGTTCTCGAATTTAATTCATTCCTAAAGGTGGTTCATCAACCAAAATATTCCCCCCTATAAAAATTAATGTAAAATGGATTAATTCGTTCTGGGATTACAGATGGCTGTCAATTTAAATTTTACAAAAATACACGATGCGCAAATTCATAACCAAAGAAAAATATTCAATATAAAAAAATCATAATAAGGATCACTACAATACTAAATAGATTACTTCATTTAATTTTACTGTATCTGACGAAGGAGGGCGAACAGCCATACGTAGAGAATAATGACATAAATATGTTATATTTTGGAAGAGCGTCCCATTCCATAAAAATAAGCATCATTCGACTCTTGACCTCCGTTTAAATCAAAATTGATCCAGTCTGATTTATTACATTGTAAAATGTTTCTTAAGTGAGACCTGAATCAATGAAAATGCTTATGATGTAGCATGCTACTGCTTTATCAAGATAAAATCGTTACGTGAAAACTTTGCATCTCATACCCTTGACCCAAATTTTTCAGTTTACACAGCTAAAGTAATTTTTCTTTCTCTTCTTCTGAAGACATTCCTTCCACAATCGCTTTTTGCTGCTGCATATTCTTGTTACCATTTTGACTGAGATGATTTTTATGATCATCTAATAATTACCTCACGTCTTTACTGTGAAGGTCGTCCTGCCTAGAAACACAATATCATAGATATAACTAACGCACACGCGCGCACGCACACATAACACACACACACACAAAGAAAAAAAGAAAAACGGGAAAGAAAAGAAAAAAGCTGAGTCTTTCAAATTATCTGCATGAAACCCAATCTAACTACAATTTCATCCAGACCAAATTCATGATCCTGTAAGGTCACTTGCCGCCAGGCATAATAAGAATAGAATTAATGAGAATTAACTAAGGTAAATATTAAAATGATGTTTCTATAAGTGTCTGAATGTTAATTATGAAGTACTTGCACTCTCAAATCACCTTCGAAAATCAGATGTTGCTGAATTGAACGTTCGTAACTCAAGAAACCATTCTGATCCGAAACGTTTTTTTTCTGATAATTTGTTCGCGAGCCGAATTTTTCATGAACTGAGGAGTTCATGATTCCACCGTATGTGCAAAACTCCTACGCATAAATATATTATATTTAAGGAAAATAGCATGATTAATTATAACTATGCAACGATGTTTAATTAAAACAAATTTTTTGACTTGCAAATTACAAAATATCACCTTTGACGGCATGATGGTTAGTGAAACTAAGGGCCTGGAATCAAGGGTGGGTTTTAACTACCATGTGAGGCTTTGAACGTATGCGTCACTTTGCCCACTTCTTGAAGGCATAACATCGGTCGCTCCCATTTGATCACCCTGTACAACGATCTCGATGTAGAGATGGTTAAATAATCGGTGGGTTTGGGCATAATTCCTCACGAGTAATTAACAAGTGTCTCATGTTTGGGAGAAAACTTCAATATTATATCATGTAATTAAATTCGGTACATGTTGAGCAAATTACGCTACTTACCAAATTTCACTATTTCTAAATTTGATTTAGCTATTAATCAGCTAAAAAGCGCCTTCAGAGCATTAGATACTACCTGCAACAGGCTGTTACTAGTGGCTGTTTAAAGCAATCAAAATATACGGAGGCAAAATGTCTAAATATTTCTAAAACAAATATAGTACACCTCAGGAAATCCTTGAAAGATATTCGAAGTTTTATTCGAATAGCCAGACTGGACAAAAAATGATAACTCCTTCAACAGTGAGATGTTTGTCTGTAGAGGTAGTGAGTTATTCAGCTGTTCAGAAAGCGAAATCTCGAAAAATCAACAATGCCCTGGCTAGAGATTAGGCTCGAGTCTTTAACCTCCTAGATTTGACCACGATGCAACATAAGCACAAGGAAGGAAGGGCTTTAATTCTTACAAAGCATATCGCAACAACCAAGGAACGACCATGCAGCTACCATTGGAGCTATATTAAGCAAATGTGCACACACAACAGGCCTTTAAATGAAGAAGCGGGCAATTTATCTCGCTAACGTTACGTCAGAAGAGGATGCTGAAGATAAAAAAGACAATCAAATATACTCGTATACACGTTTAGTGATCTGTCGTGATTTCGCTAAAGTCTGACGCTAAGACAGCACATATCTAAAAGCCGAAACCTCGCTAACATCATGAAAATCTTCATTACGCTCATGGAAGTACCATGATACGGAGACGCGTCATATCCAATGAATGGTATAGTTCATATATTCACGCTCACCATAATTATATCAAGCGATACCATGAGCGGAGTTCTTGGAGCTCAACGCAACGTTCTTCAGACGTACAAACTGACATTTTACTATTTTTTTTAATATATCTAATGCTATTCCATATCATGCTGAACAAGTGAGTGCCCTGAAATAGAAAAAATCCAAATATATCCAGATCGAAACCCATGTTTTGAACCGATGTTGCAAGACGTTACTCTCTTCCAAATGCGTATAAAAATTCAAAATTAGAAGTGAGAAACCCATTGCTTCAAATTGTTAAATCATACTTTAAATTATAGTATTCTTACGAATTTTGTATTTAGATAGCTAATGTTAGTAGAATTATAATTAAAATTGTTTTATTTCACCGTGCAATGCAGGACAAGACATATTTTAAGAGAAGGCTACGCCAGAAAAGTGAAAAAAGAGGAGCAAATGCATTTAACATTTAATAAGTAGATATTTTGTAATTTATATTTAAATTGAATAAATGTAATTGACTGCTGTGTCAGCTGTAACCATAATTCTACTCTTTTGCTTTCCAGAAATCTCGAGCAAAGAAATTAGTCTCTCGCGATCGATGGAAAGCTTTAAAAAGCCGGGCACAGACATCTCAGCTCAGTTGTTTAGTTAGCTCCTGTTATTTTTGTTGATCGGATTAGCATTCTCTGCGCTGTGTATTGCGTTCTATTTAACGTTGTAGCTAAAAGTCTAGCTAATGATTATATTGAGTGATATTGTGATATTAAACAAATATCTCTGACGAAAATTCCAACGTTTTGTAATATTTCATGTGATAAGAATAAATTTTATTAACCTTTTATCGGATTTGTACATTCAAGCTATTAAGAACCCGTACGCGCGCAACACCTTTTGGTGTAAGAAATGGGATTGAATGGCAATAACAAGAGCGATGAAGGAACAGTAAAGCAGTTGGTGGAAGCCTTTGCTGCATTTAAAGAAGAAATGAAATCATGCCAAGGAGAGATGAAAACGAGACAAGAAACCGTTAAAGCAACGATGAAAGCTAGTCAAGATTCCGTTAAAGAGAAGATGAAAATAGTTCAAGTAGAAATCAAAAGAGAGATTACATGTATAATAGAAAACAAATTTGAGGTTAAGGAAGGCTGAACTGACGCTGTTAAAAATAAAGTTGGACACACTGAAGAAAGAGTTTCTCCTGCAAAAGAACAAATAGAAGAAAGAGTTTCTGCTGTGGAGCAAAGAACCGAAGAAAGAGTTCCTGCTGTTCAAAGTAACAAATTAATGGTAGGGTTTCTGCTGCTGTCAAGAAGTTCACACCTTAAGGAGTGCCTAGCGACAGCAGGAAGCAATTATGAGAGTTTTAAATTTTTATTCATGCCTGCTCGTCCGTCTCTGAAGCTATCCACATATGATAGGAAGACCTCTTGGCAAGGGTATAAGACACAATTTTCTATAGTGGCGGAAGCAAATGGATGAGATTCCCAAGCTAAGGCCTATCATCTCGCCTCTCTGAGAGCAGACGCAGCGGATATCCTTCAGACTCTTCCCGAAAACCATAGGCTAGATTTCGAAGCTCTATCAGGGGCGTTAGATCTGCGTTTCGGGGAGAAATGCTTAAAAGACTACAGCAGGCTTCAATTTAAATACCGTCAACAGAAGCCCACGGAAACAGGAGCTCGCGATGGTAGTGAAAGGCTGTCTCATTTCGCCTCTTCGAAGTGCCCGACAGAAATGAAGGAAATCCTGTCCCTGCAGTATTTCATCGATGGCATCCGGGATCCTGAAATACAGAAATGTCTACGAATGGCGGATGTCAAGGACTTAAAACGCGCTCTAGTGTACGCAAGGAAATTCGAGGCAGCCCAGCAAGCAACTCGTAGAGACCGCCACCCAATCAAAGCTGCTCAAGACCAAAAGTCAGAGGATCAAATGGCTGCTCGTCTAGATTTGACTAGACAACTCAATGCCTTGAGACGGAATATTAGTGACAAGAAACCGATCCTAAAGTGCTGGAAATGCGGTGCTGAAGGTTACATACGAAAAATTTGCAGAACACCCCAGAGCACG